AAGTAAAGCATCCTATTGTGTTTTCGAAGTATCCACGAAGAAAATTTCCAGGTAGATGTATAAAAAGCATCGACAGCTAAAAGAATCCACACACAAAATATGGTAAAGATGATCCAAATTGAGAACACGATATTTCCAACAAAAGCATCCACACAGAAAATATTCAACAAAACTAAGTATAAGAATAAATTATAGAGCTTTACGAAAGTTCCAAATTGAGTAGCAAAGTAAATATTCAACTTAATATAGAGAAATCACGCTTAGGTATCCAACAACTTTGGTGTTTAAGACAAAGGAGAAGAGAAATGAAATTGAGTAGGAAATTCATCGAGATGTCACAAATGATCCACATGAGGTGTTCTTCCAATAAAACTCTTGGGGGAATAAAGTGAGAGAGTAAAGTTTTAGATAATCAATTTCTGTCCAGAAAAAAAATGCAGCTCAAAGTATAAAAACATCCACGCTAAAAGCATCCAAGTAGTCCAGAACAAACTATCCACTAAAATACTAGAGATCATGACTATCTACATGAAACAGACTAGCCACATCAAAATTGTCCACATTAACATAATTGTTCAAGATTCTAGAGTGATAAGTTACAGTAATCTTCTTGGGCATTCAATGGTCGTAGGCAATTTGGACGATAATGTGAGCTTGGACCATGAAAAGCCATACTTTTCCCTGCACAAATATGAAATTTGCAGACAAAATTGTTTCATCACACATTCTAAATGTAAAGCGAATCAAAAGAAACGAATTTGGAAGAAAATGGACTACTTATGTGTATATACACTACTTACAGAATAATGGACTCAGAGATTCACATAGAAAAGGAGAAATTAACAAACCTGTGAATTTGAAAGCTAAATCCACATCCGCTGCTAGAGCTTGCCGTGGAGCATGAGACTATCCAGAAATTTTAAAAACTGCAGCAAAGTAGAGTTCTCAGCAAAGTTAAAACTGCAGCAAACTCTCTTTCATAGAAACATATAGAGAGAAGAAGCTGTCGAAGAAGGGAAATTGTAAAATCCCTAAACAGAGAAGCTGCAATTTTTCTAAAACCTAAGTTAAATTATAACTGGGTTTTCCGACAGACATACCACCTTCCATATTCCCGACGAGAAGAGCGGAATTCAGATCGAAAGGAGAAATAACAACGAAAAGCTGGAAACACCGCTTCCGCTCCAAACTGTAACGAATCTGGATTACACACCCAAATCGTTTGGAGCTGAAGCGAAAAGAGATTCGAAATCAGAGAAGATGGTCGGATCTGAGAATGTGGATCGTCGGCGTTTTGGTGTTTGTCGGAAAGAATAAGCAGATGAAAAAAAATAGAGGTCACCGGCTGGGAACGGAAGTGGAAGTGAGTGGATGAGTGCGGGCTAATGAGGGAGTGGAAGTGAGTGGATGAGTGCGGGCTAATGAGGGAGTGGAAGTGAGAAAACGCAACTCCGCTTCGGAGGCGGATAATAGGTCACCGGCGAAAGAATATCCCACCGGCGTTTTGTGTTTGACGGGAAAGAGGTAAATGTAATATTTGTCGGTTAAATGTGAAAAATAGGGAATTACAGACAGAGGATAAGTGAAAACAAGGGGCACACTGTAATTATATTTGTGAAAGTCACTCAAAATGTAAACTATAACTCAAAAAATCTACTTAGGTGTAATTTTCTCTAGTTATCCAATTATCTTTTTGCTATCCTTCTTTGTTATCAGTTAATGTGTTGGTTTATTAACTTGTTATTGGTACATCTGCTATGTTCGTAAAAGTAGCGATTATTGGCGTTTGATAACAATCATCATAAGCGCTTTTTTACCGTTTGAAAACATTTAAAACACTTTCAGAACTCTCAAAATCAAAAGTTGTTTTCCAATAGCATTTGTGGTTGCTGCAGTTCCGAGTAGATATGAATATTATTTTTTTTCTAAAATACAAATCTATTTAAAATCAGCATATATATATATAATATTTATATATATATATTATTGAAATTTGAGATTTGGATATTATATTTACAGTAAAAATAAATAAATTTGATATCTTTTAGTAAATATTCACTAATATCATATCATAATTTTCTATCTATAAAAAAGTCAAAATATCTCTTGATAAATCTTCTCGTCATACTAATATATATATATAATAAATAAAATTATAACGTAAACTTAGTTTTCACATTAGTTATATTTTTTAATGAAAATATTATCTTTCATCCAAATTATAGAAACTAAAAGATACTTGTAAGTATTATACTTATATTATTTTTTATAAATTTTTATTATTATGAACTATAATTTTATAATTGTTCAATACTCCTTCAGTTTCATTGTAAGTGTCATTTAGGGGTGTCAAAATGGGTAACCCAACCCATCCAACCCATTATCCAAGTGGATTTAGTGCTAATGGATCATGGATTAATCCAATCCATTTAGGAAATGGGTTGGTTTGATCCATTATCCATTTAATTAGATGGTTTTAATGGGTTAATGGATGAATGGGTTAATGGATGATCCACAAACAAATATAACTAAAAATTTATATATATTAAAATAAAGATAACTAAACAAAATCTATAAACATCACAAAAATCTATAACCCATTAAATCTGTAAAATCGTAAAATCATGTCTTTCCGCCAAAATCGTAAATCACATCTTTCCGCCGAAACCGTAAAATCGCAAAACACGATTTTTCATCAAAACCGTAGAACCACGTTTCCGTCAAAAACATAAACTCACTGTTTTTTGCAACGTAAAATTGTGATTTATGCACAAAACAGTAAAATCACGTCTTTCTCCCTAAACTGTAAAATCACGTTTTTCAACCAAAACCGTAAAAATCAGTTTTTCCATCAAAACATAAAATCACAACTTTCCCCAAAAACCATGTTTTGCGGTTATGGCGGAAAACCTTGATTTTGCGGTTTTGATAGAAAACCGTGATTTTGCGGTTTTGATTTTGCGGTTTTGGGGAAACCGTGATTTTGCGGTTTTGGCGGAAAACTGTGATTTTGCGGTTTTGGCGGGAAACCGTGATTTTGCGGTTTTGGCGGGAAACCCGTGATTTTGCGGTTTTGGCGGGAAACATGATTTTGCAATTTTGGCGGGAAACCGTGATTTTGCGATTTTGGCGGGAAACTCGTGATTTTGCGGTTTTGGCGGGAAACTCGTGATTTTGCGATTTTGGCGGGAAACGTGATTTTGCGATTTTGGCGGGAAACCGTGATTTTGCGATTTTGGCGGGAAACTCGTGATTTTGCGATTTTGGCGGGAAACTCGTGATTTTGCGATTTTGGCGGGAAACTCGTGATTTTGCGGTTTTGGCGGGAAACTCGTGATTTTGCGGTTTTGGCGGGAAACTTGATTTTGCGATTTTGGCGGGAAACGTGATTTTGCGGTTTTGGCGGGAAACTCGTGATTTTGCGGTTTTGGCGGGAAACCGTGATATTGCGATTTTGGCGGGAAACTCGTGATTTTGCGGTTTTGGTGGGAAACCTTGGCGGAAAACTGTGATTTTGCGATTTATACCAAAATTGTAAAATCGTTTTTTTTGTCAAATTTGTAAGATCATTCTTTTATGGTATTGTATTCAAATCCAACCAAATACAATTTTGGATTTATTATGTGGATTTATTAATGTGGGTTAACCATTGATCCAACCCATTATAAACCAAACCATTTCAATCCAATCCAATTAATCCATCACCCATGTGAACCATTAACCCATTTGGAATTAATGGATAAGATGGATTGGGTCAACCCATGGATTTTGATCCATTTTAACACCCCTAGTGTCATTTGACACTTTTCACATCAATGCTCAAATTTTTACTTGTTTGACTCGCAAAATTCTATAATGTTTAAAGTTTTTTCTTATATAATTAAGGGCAAAAGGATAAAGAAAAGGGTATTTAAATCTGAAAATAATTTTTTTTTTATTTTATACCAACAAAAATCTTCTCAAATGACAGTTATTATGAAAGAGAGGAGTGATATAATGTTGATATTTTATAATTATATAATATATTTATATTGTTAATTTATTGTTTAACCACCACTACATCACAAGTCAACCAGTTGTAAGTGTCCGGCAAATGCATTCACAATTGTTATGTTAATGGTACAAACTGCTTAATAACATTCTTAACTGTAACTGCCCAATTTAACAAATTCCAGCAAACATAACCGCATCATTTAAACAATTTAGACCTTTAGTCATTTGCTGTCGCGAATTAATGTGTTGACTTGTTAACTTGGTAATTATTTGTCGTAGTTATACATTTAAAGTAATTACACAAATGAATTTTCAGTAAATGTAATTATCGCTATTGTATTCCCTTTGCAATAGTAAACGAGACAACATTGTGTAGTGTCTCCTATTCTACTATGTAGTATTGATTTTCTGCTTTATGTCTATAGAAGTAGTTTCGTCCACATTATGTTTTCATAGGAATATGATTTAATTTTAACTTTATCAATACTTAATAAAATGGTCAACGTTTGTATATTACTTTCGATCATTCTAAATTATTCTGGGAACTCACTGCAGTATTTCATAAAAATAATTTAGGCACTAAAATCATACATATAGATTAACCACACAAATACATATTCCTTTGACTTTGTAGTCCTGCAATTCCAATCTCCAAACTGGAATGTGCATTGTAACTTTAATTAATGTACTTAAAGCTTTAAATTCAAGATTAAAGCATCCGGATCCGTGGCGCAATGGTAGCGCGTCTGACTCCAGATCAGAAGGTTGCGTGTTCGATTCACGTCGGGTTCATAACCCCGAGACTTAAACCGGATAAATTGTTTTTATCTTTCTTCTTGAAATAAACTAGGGTTTATCTGTCCTTCCATGAAGGAGAGATTATTTGAAAGTAGGAGTAAAAGGGTTTAAGGGAATAATTTTCTCAGAACAATTTTCTAATTGCAATTTCGTTCAAGCTTCTTGATCAAATCACATTTTCGGAAGTTCGTTCGAGCTTCAAATTGAAAATGGAATCCTCTGTGATTACTTCATTGTCGCTGAGCTTCAAACAGGTTCCTCCACCAGCTGTTCCTGCTTTTCTCGACTGTGTTTTAAGCTCCACAGGCGTATCTCCCTCAACCCTCTTCGAATCCCTCATCAATGAATTTCCTTTTCGCTCGGAGGTATTGATCGATACCTTTTTCAACTAGTTTCGCTTCTGATTGTGTTAAGATTTGAAAAAGGGCTTCGTCCATGTTTTTAATTAGGATACGATTCAAGTGGACAAGAAATTCGATTCTGAAGATTGCAACCACATTGCTTCATTGGTGGCTGGGCTTTGCCATCTACTTAAAAATTCTGGTGAGTTCGAAATTTTGAATCTTTGGATATTGTGTTTAGAGATTCGAGAATTGGTTAATTGAGGGGGTTTTGAGGTTGAAGCAGGGTTTGGTGGTGGAGATAATAATCATAATGCGTTGCAGTTGTTTGTGTGGCGAGTGTTTATTCCACTGATGAAGATGGTTCGTGCATATGATTTGGATATGCTTAATCAGGTAAAATTCTCCTCCTGCTGTTTGTAATCCTCAGAGTCACATCTCCTCAGAGTTTATTGATCACAACTTTTGTAATTGTGCCAGATTATACAATCATTCTTCGATGTTGTGACTGAGACTAGTGTATTGGATATGTTGGGAGTGAGCTTGGTGCCTTTTTTACTGAGATCAGTTGGTGTTTCCATGGGGATGCTAATTCACCAAGAGTCAGATTTCATTAAATGGGGACAGCTGAATACAAGAGATATTGTGGATGGAAACTATGTTGCATCTTTGTCTGGATCGTTTCCGATTCCACTGTCGTGCCATCTCCTGAATTTGGTACTGAGTGCTGCTTTTCAAAGCCGTCAAGCAGCTCCAGTGGTGGAAAGATTTGCAGCTGGTTTGCTTTGGGATTTGTGTAATACCACTGAGCGGCTTTTGTCTCAAAGTTTAGAGCATCGTTCATGTGCTGTTAGTTTCCTCCTCCCTGCTGTTTTCAAGGTGTTCTCTTCTCAGTCCTCTATGAATATCTCACTTCAAGGAAATACGTACATTCTTTCAAGGTGAGGTTAAGAATCAGAAAAGTTAGGTGCTTTTAGATTCGTTTTTGTTTGATGTTTATATGAATCTTTAAAGCTGTAAACTCCAGGAATGGCTTCAAGAAAAAGATTTGGGAATGCTGCAAGAAGCTGTTCTCGGTTGGATCAATAGAGAGAAGGGATGCTTACAGTGTTCTCGCCTTGTGCCTTTCTTCTGGAACTGAAAGTTGTGTCTCAGAAAAAGACGCTGTTGAATTTGACTTGAGATCCGAACAAGAGTTTTGGGACGAAATCAAGAAAGGCTTGGTATGGCAAAAGAAAAAAGAAAAACAAAACATTCTTACAGATTATTTAGTTTGCACAATAGGATCATGAAATGAGAACAAAACATTTGCTTTCAGGTTGTTGATGAGAGCTTAGTGAGGAAGCAGTCATTGCATATACTGAAATCAGTATTATCCATAAGTGAAGTGAGTAAGAGTTGTGAGAAGAAGCCTGAAGGGAATTCAGCTCATCGTGGTATGACGAAAAAGGAGACGTGGGCAGAAAAAGAAGCCAAGTCGCTTGGTGTGGGAGAATTGTATGGCTCTGTTGACTCTGGCTTGACTAGTCAGCAGCAGTGGCAAGCTTTTGTGCTCTTGTATGAGATGCTTGAAGAGTACGGCACTCATCTTGTAGAAGCAGCATGGAGTAACCAGGTCAGGTTTTTATATCTCTGGCGATTGTAAATTTTCTGCTCTTGATGCTATGTCTCCTCTGCTAATTGCTTTTTTTTTTTTTAATTACCTCACAGATTGATTTGTTAATCAAGTCATCTTTTAGATATGAGGGATCCTTAGAATCCGACTGCAACAACTCTCATCAAGGTTACATGGAAACTCCAGATGAAGAAACTGAAATATTTAGTTGGTTAGAGGTTCTTTGGAGTCGGGGCTTTCGTCATGATAACCCTTTAGGTATTGTTTGCTTGCCTATTTCGGCCATAATTCTCTTTTACTAATTAAAGTATTCATTTTGATTGATCTAGACCTGCATTTCATATCAGTTGTTTTGCTGAATCATCTATTTTAAATTGTAGTCAGGTGCACGGTCATGGAGTCTTTTATGGGGATTGAGTGGAGAAGATACAAAACATGTACACAATCAATGTCCCAAACTTTTGTTCTTGGGCCTTTCGTAGAGGCTCTGAATGATTCTGCACACCACAAGGATTTCGGTAGGTGCTTCCTGGAGAAATATAATCCAATGTCTTTGATAAATTGTATTGGAACTCTTATTGTGCATTATTTGACTGTCATTTTTCTCGCTTATTTTGCTCTCTCAGGGCTGAAAGCCATATATACGTCAAGAACAATAGAAGGTGCAACTCAGTATGTGTCTGCGTACACAAGTTACCTCAACCCAAGGTAGGGTGTCTCAAGTTATTATTCCATCTTATTTATGGTTTTGCTATTGATCAAATGTGTCTGGATATGTTCTCTAGGGTCTATGATTATCAATTATCAAACCATAAACTTTGACCATTATGGTTTTCTAACTGTTTGCTCGTTCCATAGGGATCGGGTTGGATTTTTGATCAACCTGGCATCTCTTGCAAAGAAACAGTCTTTTGGTAGGGCTGGATTTATGGCTCTCATACAATGCATTGTTTCTACAGCGTATGTGGTTGGAGGAAACGGAGACAAGGAAACCGAGCATCTCGAAGATAGATTCTCTGGGACTCTCCATGAGCCTTCTAGTGAGCATTTAAGTCAAGATGATATGGTACATCTACTGGATGTCTTGAAGTTTGTTGCAGAGAGCAGCAGACAACATTTTAATCATAGATATCGTATTCGAGGTATGCTAATCAGTTAGCTTGTCAGATTTAATCATATGCATGTGTAATTATTATTTTAGGGGGGTTTCCTCTTGATATTAATCCCACTGAAACTCATTCTATGAATTGTCTTTCTTCCATATTCTAGTGTATCAAAAAGTGTTGGAAACTGCTGCTGCAGTGGTGAACCCTTGTAATGTTCCGCTTGGAACACTATTGCAGTTTGTTTCAGCAATTCCTCGGGAGTTTACTGACCATGATGGTGAGCAGAAGACTTTTACATCCAAAAACTAAACCGAAGGTCATCGTTTAACATCATATGCTTTCTTCTCTGCCAGGTTCATTGCGCAAAGTGATGCTAGAATGGCTCCAGGAGTACAACAGAAAGACATCCAACAGTTTCTGTACTGATGGGACTCGTCTTCTGGCGAGCCTTAATGAGTATCTGAGAGAATTTATCAGTGATCATGTTGAGGGCTTTGATGATGAAGACTTGGAGGCATGGGAATCCCAAACAAAACGATGGGCAAGAGTATTTTTCCTCGTAGTTAATGATGACGAACATCTCACCGATATCATAACGGTCTGTGTTCCTTGAATTTCATTTTGACCTGTCAGCTAAAAAATTTTGGTAGTAATGAGTTGCAAATTTGACAATCCCCTGTTACTCTGCAGTTTGTACAAAATAGCGGCGTTAGTTTATTCCAAGAGAAGAACCACTTAGAGCGGGCTCCTGCGAAGTTTTTAATCTTCATTCTAAGTATGCTTTTAGAGCTTCAGAACATGCAAGATGAAACTTCCGAGCTTAGTTCTTTGGTGAAAACCAAGTCTGGCCTCGGTTCTGTTGAGGAAAATGGCAAGCACATCATTGGCAGTGCTTCAGTTATTCATGAAAAGTTTGCTGTTGTTCTCTTATCAATAATGGTACGGAAAACAGTGTGCCAACACTTCAAATTTTCTTGACAAACAATGATATAATTTTCTTCTCATTAGCTTGGCTTACTTTTATGTTTCTTTCGTGGCTTGACAATACAGAAGGAGCTGATTTCATTTGCTGATTCATCTTGCTCTATATTCTGGTCTCACACTACTGTGGAGAATGGTGCCCTGTCTGGTTCTGTCACTGGAAAACTAGGCGGTCCAAGTCAACGCCGGCTATCTGCTCCTACTACAACAGCTGTACTAGAAGCTGTATGATTTCTTTTCTTCTTGTTCTTTCTTAGGAAAATCCTTGTAGTAACACGTCTACAACATTGGAAAAAGATTCATGTCAATGCTTTATGATGAGCAGGTAACATCGGTGAAAATTATTGGGTTGATCTCGTCATACTGTGCTCAAGTCACTAGTGGTGGTGGTGAACTCAAATTAGCAATGGCTTTCTTTTGGAAGCTCACCCAGCATACTATATCATCTCAAATTTGTAACTCTGAGGTAATGCCCTTCTTCTGTATTTTTCAGGTTTGGTAAGATGCGTGAAATGTGTTAATTTCTGAACTTTCTTGTACTGTACTAATTTAATATGAATGCTTCTGACCAGGCTGCAGCTGAGGTCTATCTTGCAGCATTTGAAGCTCTAGCTGCAGTACTGAATGCATTTGTGTCCTTGTGCTCAGCTGGAGCTTTCAACCTCTTAGAAAACGATAATACATTGATAACCATGGTAGATGGTGAATACTGGTTACAAGTTTCGGTTCCGGCTTTCCTCCATAACATTAACCATCTTCTCACAGCAGGACTTCTGGTAAGAAGTAGAAGGGCAGTTCTGCTTAGCTGGAAGGTACTATTTTTTTTCCTTATGTGACAGAGCTATAGCCGTTAACCAGTTGAATTATGCATGTAACAAGATCTTCTTATCAGTGGCCTTTTGCTTTTGGAGGGTTAAAGAAAAATTCTGACCCTTTTGTACTTGATTCAGTGGCTTTGTGTGGAGTCTCTATTATCAATCATGCATATTCTTGATGCCAGGCGTATTCCAGGGGATAGAAAGTCTTTCTTCTCAGATGATACAGTTAAAATCATCTTTCATGATATTGTAGAGAGGTGGGATATTGATTCAGTTTCATTCTCTTAGCGGTCGTTAACTTAAGGAAAAAAATAGTTTGCTTTCCTTTGTTCAGTTGCTATGACATTATCTCACTTTTGTGAGTAGATACAAAATATTAAAGAAACATAAGTACCAGAGAAATTATTCTTTCAGATGCTTGTCTTAGGATGTAAACATGCTTTTATGTTTTTTGTGGCCTCTAATATTCCCTTTACAATTTGGCAGCCTTGAAAATGCTGGGGAGGGTTCTGCTTTGCCTATGCTGAAATCTATCAGACTCGCTTTGGGGATACTTGCATCTGGGAAATCAACTTTGGATGGTTTCTCGGGTGTGGATACTCAGGTTTTGTAATGATTTTGCTATAGTTTCAATGATTTTTTTGTCCTCATCATTTCCGAAGAAATAATATATCTCTTTTCTTGTGATGCCTTGCAAGCAGACGTTGTGGCAGTTGGTCAAATCATGTTGGATATTGCATATTAGCTGCAAGAAAAGAAGAGTTGCACCCATTGCTGCGCTTTTGTCTTCTGTGTTGCATTCTTCTTTGTTTAGTAACAAAGACATGCACGTAGCTGAAGATGGACATGGTCCACTGAAGTGGGTATGCATCTATTCTTAATAATTAAATTAATTAAACGAGCAAAAGAGAAAATGTGTGTTTATTGGCAATGTCTTGTTTCACAGTTTGTTGAAAAAATACTCGAGGAAGGACAAAAAAGTCCACGCACAATTCGTCTTGCGGCCTTGCACCTAACAGGACTATGGCTCATGTACCCTAGGACGATAAAGTTCTACATTAAAGAATTGAGGCTTCTGACTCTCTATGGCTCTGGTCTGTGATAGCTATTATTTCTATTAAACCGCCAATGCGATGACTGTGTGGTATTGAATTGCTTATCGTTTGAAATTATGATTTTTAGTTGCATTTGATGAGGATTTTGAAGCTGAATTATCTGACAATAATGATGCAAGAACTGAAGTATCACTATTGGCGAAAAACCCGGACCCTGAACTGACAGAAGTAAGATTCCATTTTAGCAGATGATGGATTGATAGCTTTGCTGAATTATCTGACTCAGTAAGGTGACATGCTTTGCATTTTGCCTCCTCAGGTTTTTATCAACACGGAGTTGTATGCACGTGTCTCGGTCGCTGGTCTGTTTCAGAATTTGGCCTCTATGGCCGAACCAGCATGTCAAAATCAAGATTATCAAGAGGCTATTGTGTCTGGAAAATTGTATTTATTGGACCTTCTTGATGCGGCGGTACGTATTGTTTGCCAAGTCTTATTGTCTGATACTCTGATTAATAATGATATGCACTGATCATATTATCTAAATGAATCCATCTTTTTTGGGGTACAGGTTCATGATAAAGACTTGGCGAAAGAGCTTTACAAGAAGTATAGTGCTGTAAGAGTTGCATTTTTTTCCTTTATTGTACACTTGGTAAACGTTAAATTACTAGAAGTGACAAACCACCACGTCTGTAATTTCTGGTATCTCTGCAACAGATCCATAGACGGAAAATACGCGCTTGGCAGATGATTTGCATTATGTCGCGATTTGTCAGCGACGACATTGTTGGCCAAGTCATGGACAGTGTGCACATTTGCTTACATGTAAGTTTTTTGAAGCAAATTTGCCATCGGTTCAGTCATAATGAAATCATTCAGTCAGAAACTAATATAGAAAAAGATATATATATGATAAATTTTCTGTCTAAAGTTAAATTGAAGCTGATTGTTTTTTTGTTTGGTTTTTTTGTAGAGAAATAACCTGCCTGCGGTTCGGCAATACCTGGAAACATTTGCCATCAACATTTACCTGAAATTTCCAGCACTGGTAAATTACCTTGATAGTGTGTTACCAAAAACAAATTTTCGTAATCATACTCTGAAGAATATTTGTTAACGGGTTATTTTATCAATGATTTTTTTTGTTTTTTTTTACACTTCTAAAGTAACTACTAATCGGTAATTGTATCACAGGTTAAAGAGCAATTAGTTCCTATACTACAAAACTATGATTCTAAAGCTCAGGTAAATCATGTGCAAAATTCTGACACTGATATGTAGAAGTATTATTCAGTTCAAAATATTGACAGATGTTGTCTTGTAAATATGCAGCAAGCTCTCTCGTCCTACGTCTTCATTGCAGCCAATGTCATCCTTCATGCCGAGAAAATAGCTCAACAGACACATCTGAGAGAACTTCTTCCACCAATAATTCCGTTGTTAACTTCTCATCATCACAGCTTACGTGGTTTCGCCCAGGTTAGTCTTTATAGATATGATGTCATCTCTATTTTTTTTTTCTTGGCCTCAAACTGTATATCAACTCTATTCCATTTTTCTTTCGGGGGTTCGGCAGTTATTAGTGCATCGAGTTCTCTTTAGACTGTTTCCGCCTCTGGAGTCCACATCATCTCAGACAATATCGTTGGAGAAACTTTCTTTTGAGAATTTGAAGTCTTATCTGGACAAGAATCCTGATTGTTCGAGGTGTGGTTCTCTACTCAGTATGATTTGATATGTTCATAGAGTCGGTCTTACTTTTGCAGAAAAAGCCATCTAGAAGGTTGTGGCTTATAAAATCGAATTTAACTGTAAATTTTCTCTCCTGGTCTAGATTGCGATCATCTATGGAAGGATACCTTGATGCCTATGATCCCACCACCTCTGCTACTCCGGCTGGTGTTTTTGTCAATCGTGTTGAGGTAACCAATGCAATCTTCAAGTGGTTTCTGTACCAATGGCCGAATCAAAATATTTAGACATTTCAAATACTTTATCAAACAGCCAAGTAACCACATTGCTGAGATTAATATTAGTTGACAAAGCTGCTTTCAGATCTCAGTGCCATTTTATTTTAAAGATCATTTTGTGGTGGTGGTTGTGCAGGAAAGTGAGTTTGAATGTGTTCCAACATGCCTCATGGATAACGTTATTTCTTTTCTCAATGTAAGTAATTATGCATATTTTAGAATGTTTTTTTGTTATTTGTTGGTGTTTCTGTCTCTCTGTCTAACCTTTCAAGTCTTGCAGGATGTTAGGGAAGATCTCCGTGCTTCCATGGCAAAAGACATCGTTACCATTAAGAATGAAGGCTTCAAGATTGAAGAAGAGCCCAACCGTAAGTTGATCATGCCAACGACAGATGAAGAAAGGCTCTCTGAGCCATCTTCGTTGGACTTCCAGAAGAAGATCACTTTGTCGAAACATGAGAAGCAAGATGCTACTTCAACTTCTGTGCTCCAAAACGGGGAAACATACAAGCGGCTCTTTGGTATGCAAATATTATATAGCTCTCTATTTCTCAAGATTATGTAAACCCTCTCTCTCTGCGCAATACCAACATGGGTTTTATTTCAGAAATGGAAAAGGAAGACGAGCTCGTGAGTCAACTCTTACGATCTAGAAGCATGGAGGTCGAAAGGTTGAAATCTGATCGACAGAGTTTGATCCTTGTGGCTTCACTGCTTGATCGTATCCCTAATCTTGCTGGTTTGGCCCGGACATGCGAGGTATAACTATTAATTACTCTCTGTGTCTTAAGAAGAAATTTTTGTTGTTGTCTTGTACTTTTTGCATCCAGTTCAGTCAGTGTTAACAAGCCTCTCCCTGCATATTTTCCAGATATTTAAAGCATCAGGTCTTGTTGTCGCAGATGCAAACGTAATACACGACAAACAGTTCCAGCTAATCAGGTATGGTTTATATACTCAAGCCCTCTTTGTATAATGGATCAGTAAATTTGAAGAGTGATGCAAAGTGGACAAGAAAATATGGTCGAGTGTCTTACTAAATCTGAAAACATGGACCCATGACATCAATTCCTGCTGAATTAGTTACCCTGAAAAATCTGTTTACAAGGAGCTTTTCTTTTCTGCAGTGTGACTGCTGAGAAATGGGTTCCAATCATGGAAGTCCCTGTGAACAGTTTGAAACTGTTCTTGGAGAAAAAGAAACGAGAAGGCTTCTCAATCTTGGGACTGGAACAGACAGCTAACAGCGTTTCTCTGGACAAATATCAATTCCCAAAGAAGACGGTAAGTTCATGAGTAAAAGCAGGAACCAAGGTTTTCTTTTGCTCTCACTTAATGGTTTCACCACTGATCTGGTTGGTCAATGTTGTCTCTGTTTTTTAAGGTTTTGGTGCTTGGTCGGGAAAAGGAAGGCATACCTGTGGACATAATCCATGTACTGGACGCTTGTGTCGAGATCCCACAACTTGGAGTCGTTAGGTCCCTCAACGTTCATGTCAGTGGTGCTATTGCCCTATGGGAATACACTCGGCAGCAACGCATTCAATAGTTTTTTTTGTTGCTGTTAGTGAGTACTTCAAGGAAGCTTTGAATCAAGTATGCCTGAGAACATGTTTTATATATTACATTTGGTACTAACTACAACACCCTAGAACAAAAAGAAAAGCAAGAATCTTTGAACCCAATGATGTTCAGTCCTCAGCAAGTTAAAAAGCTGCTTGAGTTTGCTTGTCATATAATTGATGTTGTCACATCGAACAGTTTCTTGAGTTTGTACACATCTTCTTTGTTCTTGCGGATGAAAAAGAAGTCCAGAAACAGAACAGTAACGAACTCTGGTTAGGCTATCAACAAAGTAAAGCCATAAACGCAGCAGGACTGAGTAAACATCTTGGGTGTTGAGTGTTGTTGAGTTATTTTTAAGATTTTCAGTTAGTTAGTAGATTGTGTTTGATCAATAAGGGTTTAACAAAGAATTTGTTTGTCACAAATAATGCAAATAAATTAAGAGATGATTTAACCTTCTTTTTTTTTGATTAACATATCAGTTTACCTAAACATAATCCAACCAATGAACAAACAAATTACAAAACATAAAAAGAAAAAACAAATTAATTAATTTTGCATTGGATAATGAAAACATGAAATTCCTAAAACATGAAGTATTATGAAACGGAGATGTAGAATCGAAGAAGCAGAGGAACAGGTCTGATCGCAAAACAAGAAAAAGAGTTTTGGTGTTTTCCTTTTTACAGTTGATTCTAGAGGTTTTCCTTTTTGAATTACGTTTATGGTTTTGGAATTGTTGTGGCCTATTTAAAGGCTTCATATCTCTTTCAATCTCTCTCATTCATCATACGTAGCTTACCTAGGAGCAACTACAAGAGCTAGGGCTAAAGCTTTGGCTCATATCACACGGTTACAAAGAAAAAGCTAAAAAACCTACCTTCAGCCATACGGAACACAAAGATGGGTAAAATAGAAAGAACCCTGATTTCAGCTTTGGTACTCTACGTGACTCTTCTACTTCTTGTAATCTCCGCCGCAGTGAAGGAAGCAAACGACTTCAGTTACTCTGCTGCTGTAAACACAGCAACGGATCTTAAGTATAAGATCATAGCCATCTTCTCCACACTGATCATCGGGGCTTTTGGTGTGTGCATACCGATCTTTGGCCTTGATCCACATGGAATTTTTTTCTTATGCGTTAGGATATTATCTCCCACCGCAATCATCGCCACCTGTTTCATTCTTCTTAACCATGCCACAGAGAGCCTCACGAGTTATGAACCACCTTGGGGTGATTTTCCGATGACTAGAGCTGTAGCCACGGCTTCTTCCATCTTAACCATGGTTGAAGTCTTGGCCTTAGCTTCTATGAACAGATCTCACTCGGAAACTTGGTGGTGTATAGCCGTCTGGGGAGATAAAGAGGAAGAAAAGATTCATGTTGATAATAGCTGCAAGACCCTTCCATGTTCGTTAGGGTTTGTGGTTAGCTCAGTGATCATAGGAATATCCTTAGGAGCAACTTCAAGTGTTAGCTTAATCAAGCCTCTTATAGCTGCAACAAATTTGCATCAATTGTCCCAAGGAATTTATCTCGGTGGTCGCTTCTCCAAGGCAATTCTTGAAGTGAAGAAAACTTTGGTTATGGTGATGGTATATTCTCTCACAACACCTGTAGGAATCGGGATCGGTATTGGAGTCGCCGAGATTTACAAGGAGTATATTCCGGCCACGTTGATGCTGTCCGGTTTCTCAAACGCTGCAGCCGCCGGAATATTGAACTGCATGGCCATTTTTGTTTGTTGCAATCAGAAAGCGCAACGTAGTTTGTGGTTGTTAATACCTTGTGCTTATGTGTTCTACTCGCTGCTTAGATGTCTCTTTTATCGTTGGGCTTGAATATTTTCAGTTCTTGTATCTTTTCTTGGACAGTTTTCAAATTCAGATTCATATACACTATGATGAGATTAAGTCGATTCCTTATATTTTCTAAAATCATTTTCTTAATATTTTTAACTAATTACAGCATATCATCATCACATAACAAAAAAGCAAGAGTCTCTCTGTTTTAACGTTTTCACTTGTTGGAGTTGTCACCATCTTTCCAAGCTGCCTGATGAAACCTTAACCGTTCTTGATTTTCTTTTCTGTCTTCTTCACGCCCTTTTAAGTCTTCTCTTCTAAGTTACTGTCAAATATGAAATTATCCGAGATAACTTCTGAAAATGAACCATTACTCCACCTGGATCACGAACCATTCTGTAACAGCCCGGCTCACCGGCCCACCGCCGGCCCGGCGCTATTAGGGCTGCAGCCCAATACACCCCAACCCTTCCGGTGTATAAGGCCACTGTCACTATATCAACCTAGGTTGTTGGTGAGACTCGAACCTCAGACCTCACCCTTTAAGTAGCCTTCCCTACAGGAAGCTTCCTTTACACATTCAATCTGAAAATTAACAGTTGATCATGATTGCGTTCCTTCAAGGCGCTTATAATGGTTGCATTGTTGAGTTTTTGTTTGGTTCCGATGGAAAGTGAATGTTGTTGCTGTTTGTATCTTTATTATATTATTAATTGAGAAGTACATTCTAATGTTTGGATACAAGAATAAGAGAAAATATCTATTTGGATAGAAGAATAAATGGAAAAAATTGTTTGGATACAAGAATAATAACTTAAAATAAACCGATGGTTTAGAAAACTTCCGTTTTCCATCTCTTAAAAATCTGCAAAAAAAAAACTTAACATAATCTAACGATAATTCCAAATCAATAGAATATGCTTTTTGGATTTTCGGGTTTTTATAGACAAGTTCGGGTTTGGGTGAAAATCTGAGACATAATTTTATAGAGATATATATAGAGATATAGAAATTGTTCGGGTTTCTTTGAAAATTTCTGTTCGGGTTAGGTTCAATTTTTTTTTCAGTTTAGGGTTTTCCGGATTTTTTAGATTTCTGGTTTTCGGGTTTAGATATATTAAAAAAATTGAGTATTTTAAAATTTTGATTAGGTATTGGGGTCGGGTTCCGGGTGAAAAAGTTTCCAGATTTTTTTTGTTCAGTCAGGGTTTTCGGGATTTTTTTGATTTCGGATTTTCATGTTTAGACCTATTAAAAAAGTTTGGGTTTTTAAATTTTTTGATTAGGGTTTTTTGTCGGGTTCGGATTTAGGGTTTAAATTTTCTACACAAAACAACAACGTCACACCGCACAAACGTGCGGGTACTCTACTAGTTGAATATATGATGTATGTGTTCATGTCCAGCTTACACATAGATTTGTGAGAAAGAGTTAGAAAGAGTTAGAAAGAGTATGTGTTCATGCAAACACTCTCTGCACCATACCAACACAGATAACGTTTTTCAGAAATGGAGAAAGAAGACGAGCTTGTGAGTCAACTCTTACGATCTAGAAGCATGGAGGTCGAAAGGTTAAAATCTGATCGACAGAGTTTGATCCTTGTGGCTTCACTGCTTGATCGTATCCCTAATCTTGCTGGTTTAGCCCGGACATGCGAGGTATAACTATTAATTACTCTGTGTCTTAAGAAGAAATTTTTGTTGTTGTCTTGTACTTTTTGCATCCAGTTCAGTCAGTGTTAACAAGCCTCTCCCTGCATATTTTCCAGATATTTAAAGCATCAGGTCTTGTTGTCGCAGATGCAAACGTAATACACGACAAACAGTTCCAGCTAATCAGGTATGGTTTATATACTCAAGTCCTCGTTGTATAATGCACAAGTTCATGCTGTTGGATCTGCTTAGAACACAAAAGAGTATGGTAAATGGATGAGTAAAATTGAAGAGTGATGCAAAATGGACAAGAAAATACGGTCGAGGGTCTCACTAAATTTGAAAACATAGACCCATGACATTAGTTTCTGCTGAATTGTAAGAATGGTTACCCTGAAACATCTGTTTACAAAGAGCTTTTCTTTTCTGCAGTGTGACTGCTGAGAAATGGGTTCCAATCATGGAAGTCCCGGTGAACAGTTTGAAACTGTTCTTGGAGAAAAAGAAACGAGAAGGCTTCTCAATCTTGGGACTGGAACAGACAGCTAACAGCGTTTCGCTGGACAAATATCAATTCCCAAAGAAGACGGTAAGTTCATGAGTAAAAGCAAGAACTAAGGTTTTCGTTTGCGGAACTAAACTGATCTGATCTGGTTGGTCAATGTTGTCTTTGTTTTTAAGGTATTGGTGCTTGGTCGGGAATGTTGGATTTAATTGAGTTTGGTATTAAGTGTCTAAGTTTAGGTTGTGTTACACGAGCGGTTTTGTGTCACACACAAGTAGGAGAGAGTCGCAACTGTTCGTTGTGTTTTGTATTATTATATAACCCATTATAACATGATGTAACAAATCAAGTTTCGTATTAATAAAACCTATTCCTCGTTGATTCTTCTTCTTCACAAGACAAGAGATACACTCTCATCTCTTGCTCTGTTTTTTCATTCTTTCTCTTCTCTGTTTCTAAATCAAAAGTTCAACAGGGAACTTTTGAAACAGACAGACAGCTAACAGCGTTTCTCTGGACAAATATCAATTCCCAAAGAAGACGGTAAGTTCATGAGTAAAAGCAGGAACCAAGGTTTTCTTTTGCTCTCACTTAATGGTTTCACCACTGATCTGGTTGGTCAATGTTGTCTCTGTTTTTAAGGTTTTGGTGCTTGGTCGGGAAAAGGAAGGCATACCTGTGGACATAATCCATGTACTGGACGCTTGTGTCGAGATCCCACAACTTGGAGTCGTTAGGTCCCTCAACGTTCATGTCAGTGGTGCTATTGCCCTATGGGAATACACTCGGCAGCAACGCATTCAATAGTTGAATTTTTGTTTTGTTACTGTTAGTGAGTAACTGAGTACTTCAAGGAAGCTTAGAATCAAGTATGCCTGGGAACATGTTTTAAATATTGCATTTGGTACTAACTACAAAACCATAGAATCTTGGTGAACCCAATGATATTGAGTCCTCAGCATGTATCAAAGCTGCTTGAGTTTGCTTGTCATATAATTTATGTTGTCACATCGAACAGTTTCTTCAGTTTGTACGCATTTTCTTTGTTCTGGCGGATGAAAAAGAAGTCCAGAAACAGAACAGTCACGAATTCTGGTTATGTTATCAACAAAGTAAAGCCATAAAGAAGCCTATCGTCGCAGAAGGATTGAGTAAACATCTTCAGTGTTGAGTGTTGTTGAGTTATTGACTAAGATTTTCAGTTAGGTAGCAGATTGTGTTTGATCAATAAGCTTAACAAATAATTTATTTGTCACAAAACCCCAACATACGGTTAGAAATAAGTAAAGTCCCTGTTAATTAATTAACTCGTAATAATGCAGATAAATTAAGTTTTATTTAAAATTAACATATCAGTTTACCAATCCAACCAATGAATTAACAAATTACAAAACATGAAAAAAAAACTAATTAATTTTGCATTGGATAATGAAAACATGAAATTCCTAAAACATGAAGTATTATGAAACGGAGAGAATATATAAGAGTGCAGCTTGAATCAAAAGATGTAGAATCGAAGAAGCAGAGGAACAGGTCTGATCGCAAAACCAGAAAGCAGCAGAGAAGCCCTAATTCTTGATATCACGTTTACAAAAAAAAAAACCTACCTTCAGCCATACGGAACACAAAGATGGGCAAACTCGAAAAAACCCTGATTTCAGCTTTGGTAATCTACGTGACTCTTCTACTTCTCATAGTCTGCGCCGCAGTGAAGGAAGCAAACGACTTCAGTTACTCTGCTGCTATAAACACAGCAACGGATATTAAGTATAAGATCATAGCTATCTTCTCCACATTGATTGTCGGAGCGTTTGGTGTGTGCATACCGATCTTTGGCCTCGATCCACATGGATCTTTTTTCTTATTCGTTAGGATATTATCTCCCACCGCAATATTTGTCACCTGTTTCATCCTTCTTAACCATCCCACAGAGAGCCTCACGAGTTATGAACCACCTTGGGGTGATTTTCCGATGACTACAGCTGTAGCCACTGCTTCTTCCATCTTAGCCATGGTTGAATTCTTCGCTTTAGCTTCTATGAACAGCTCTCCCTCTGAAAATTGGTGGTTTAAAGCCGTGGGGGGAGATAAAGAGGAAGAAAAGATTCATGTTGATAATAGCTGCAAGAACCTTCCATGTTCGTCAGGGATTGTGGTTAACTCAGTCATCTTAGGAATATCCTTAGGAACAACTTCAAGTGTTAGCTTAATCAAGCCTCTTATAGCTGCAACAACTTTGCATCAGTTGTCCCAAGGAATTTATCTCGGTGGTCGCTTCTCCAAGGTAATAATCTTATCTTTTTCTCTCTTTTCAAGATCTTGATAATGAAGTGTTTATATCTTCTCCTTTCTTCTTTTTTGGCAGACAATGCTTGAAGTGAAGAAAACTTTGGTTATGGTGATGGTATATTCTCTCACAACACCTCTAGGAATCGGGATCGGTATTGGAGTCGCCGAGATTTACAAGGAGAAAATCCCGGGCACGTTGATGTTGTCCGGTTTTCTAAAAACTGCAGCCGCCGGAATATTGAACTACATGGCCATTGTTGTTGGTTATAATCACAAAGCTCAACGTAGTTTGAAGTTGTTAATACCTTTTGCTTATGTGTTCTGCTTGCTGCTGAAATGTCTCTTTTATCGTTGGGATTAGATATTTTCAAATTCTTGTTTCTTTTCTTGGACAGTTTTCAAGTTCAGATTCATATACTATGATGAGATTAAGTCGATTCCTTATATTTCTTAAAGCATTTCCTTAATATTTTTAACTAATTACAGCATATCATCATCACATAACAAAAGCAAGAATCTCTCTCTGTTTTAACGTTTTCACTTGTTGGAGTCGTCACCATCTTTCCAAGCTGCTTGCCATTGCTTGTCATACAAAGTGGTCTCATCGAAAAGCTTCTTGAGTTTGTCCACGTCGTCGTTCTTGCGTATGAAGAGAACTCCAACAACAGCCACGAACAAGAGCGTTTTGCAGAAGAAGTTTCCCATTTGGTTGATTATGTAAAAGTTGAAAGCTTTCCCACGATCTTCCATGGTGACACGAGTCACAGGCACAACAGATATGGTGTGTCTCTCGCAGACAACAACATCCGGCGTTGGAACTTGAGCTCTCAAGGAGATAACATCTGAGGAGAACTTGTTGAGGAAATAAGAGTCTGCAAAGTAAGCAGGCGTGCACTGGTAAGCTTGTGTGTTGCAAAGCTGAAATCCTTCTGCTCCTTTTGTTGCACTCGCTTTTCCCTTCGACAGAGTCTTCCTGTCAAAATCCGAAGAACCAAATCTTGAAAATCGCCACTTGAAGACATTATCTTGTGTTCTTGAAGGATTTTCAAGAACTTACCATCTTACAATAGCGAGACTGCTTGTTAGAAGAGAACCAGTACCGTGGCAAGTCTGACATTTGATTAACCCGCGAGATTGGCAGTTTGGGCAAGGAAGCTTTCCCTTACCGTTACAATCTGCGCATCTGTGAAAAGGGGTTCATGTATAGAGCCACAGTTTGCATCTTGCAACCATCAAAAATGAAAAATTAAGTTCTTGATTCTGAACTTACATTGTGTCGGATCCATCTTTATGAGCAATCAAACCTCTTCCATAGCACGCATAACACTTCAACATTTATGAGCAATCAAATCCTGGATCACCTTTTCCGCCTTACCAACAAAATTCTAATCGTCTTAAATGTAGTCAGGAACATTGAGAATTTGTTACCTGAGCACTTGTCAACAGTCTCAGAATGTGGAACTGGGACTTGAGTTTCTTTATAGGGGACAAAGAGCGTAGGAAATTGCAGAAAATTGTTCTTTCGTAGGGCATTAGAATGACAAAACAGATTTATGTCATCGGAAAGTTTCACATTTTAAGAATGATCATCAAAAAGTCTCTTATTTGAAGGATGAAAGTTTCAAATTTAAGGATGATCATGGGAAAGTTTTGCATTTTAAGGATGAAACTTTGACATTTTAATGATCAAAGTCAAAAGGTAGAGGAAGCAGTATGGATTCGATCACCTTAATTACCAGTAAAACTCACAAGCTCGAATATAGTTGTCAGTAAAATTGCAACGAGAAGCGATCAAATACAAAAAAATTCAAGGATCAGAATGTAGATCGAACGAGAAGAGACGACGCGTACGAGTGGGCAACGAAACGGGGGTCGTTGGAACGGGAGGGTAGAGAGCCGGAGGATCGGAAGCGGAACGGACTTTCTCGACGGTGACGCCAAAGAAGCATTTTGTACGAATCCCATCTCTCGGATTCCTTGGTTTTCTCTGATCCCCACAAGAGAATTTCAAACAAGAACAAATTCTGATATCAGAGAAATTTAAAGGAGATAACAATATATGATGGGTTTTCTGAATACTTGAAAGCAGAGGCTTATCCATAGACTACAAATCTCTCTGCCTCTCTCTCTCTCTCTTGTCCACTTCTTTGTTCGGAAGACAGCAAAAATTTGTTCAACATTTGTGACTACCTATCTTCCATTGTTGCTTTGGTGCTGTGGACCTTGTCTATCTCAAACTCTCCACCACTGAATCCTTGGTCTCTTGGAGAGTCCATCACATCACATGAAAAGAAAGTAAAAAAATCAAGAGACAAGTAGAGCTATAAGCAAGAAAATGAGACATTTTGACAAAATAAAACTAGCTTGGAATTTTGCCACACTGGTAGCAATGGGATCTTTCAGGGGCCTTGTCAGAACAAGTTTCCAAATACCTATCTTGCATCGTCATGGAGTGGCGAATTATTTGACACTGTGACCAAATTGTATTGCTTTTCGGTGATACTTTTGGGAACTCGTTCCTCTGTTTCCATCCAGTCAGACCATCCCCACCACTGATGAATAGGCTTAACTTTGGTCCTCAAGTCATCCTCCTGAACTTGAACATGTGATGTTCTTTGCACTCTCGAGCCATTTTCAAGTGGTTCTGGCAGAAGTTCATGCTCCACCACATGGCCTGATGGAGTATAGACTAATATATGCTCCAGCGAGTTAGTCCGGGAGTTCCGTTGAAGGTCAATGAGTAGCAGAATTGTGAAAAAACTGCAGCTATCAACAAAGTAAGCCATGAAGAACCCAAACATTTTTCCATGTTAACAAAGGTTCGTGTTTGTTCATCTTTTAGTGATTTTGAGAGATTTCAGAGTAACAAAACAAAATCAAAACCATTGAGGATTTCAGCTTCGGGTAAGTGGAATGATCCATGTATCGAAGAGCACTGGTTAACATCAAATCAAGTTTCGTTTTAGTAAATCAGAAACCAAAATCGAGGATCTAACCAGCCACGATAACAGAATCCCAATCGGTTTTCCCATCTTTCTCCAACTGTTTCAGATCCCAAGTTCCATTGATCCATCTCTCATCCTCGAATTTGATCTTCATCTCTTCTTCACCTTCTACAGTGGTGACGATTTCTTCTTTCTTATGCTCTCTCCACACTCTCCACACTCTAATCTGCCTAACTCCTACACAATTCGCATCCGAAAAAGGGCCATCTTTGGTCTCCCAGTTCTGGATGCTACTTCTCTAATCATCTCTTCCTATTATCTTCACAAAACCCTTGAACATAGTACAGATTCTCCACCAAGACTTTCTCCATCCATTTGTCCTTCTTCGAATCAGTTTGGTTCACATTGGAGCCCAAGCATCCAGATGAAGAAGAAGGAAGCTACACTTTCTCCTTTAAGTCACACAAAAACCGGAATTCAATTTTGACTTTTTTCAATCGGGTCGGGTTTATTCTCGGGTCAGTAAATCGCGTTTCGTTAAACGCTAGTTTTGATTGCAGTATAATATAAACAACGCAAGTCTCTCTCTCACTCGTCTCCCTCTCTCGTCTCCCTCTCTCGTCTCTCTCTCACTCCATTTTCAAAATTATTTTTCCAAGTTGCCGAATCAAAGCTAGCAATGGATTTGGGCGTCTATAGCCGCGAATTATCACCAGCCGTCAAGAATCACCTGAAGAAGGTGCGTTTTCTTTGGATCTTGTTTATTTTATGTATCCTTCTCTTTGATCTTTGGCTCTTTGCTCTGTTCTTCTTTCTTCATCTCTTCTTTACATCCCCTTCCCTTGCTCTGTTCTTCATCTTCTTCTTCCCTAAACCCTGCACCCACCATCCTTTCGTGACGAGTTCTTGATGCCTTCTGCTTAATCTTCTTTGAAGCGAATATCGTTGAAACAGTTTCTGCATTTTCTGCCTTTGTCTCCTTCAGATTCTCCTCTTTCTTTCTTTCTTTCTCAACAATTTTCTGCATTTCACACGTCTTTCTTTCGTTCTGATCTTCAAAAACATGCAACATTTAGGTTACGTTTCCAGCAAGCAACATCATCACCAACCTGAAAAGTTTCCTTTTTGACTGGATGATGATTTAACCTGATGAAACCTTGACCGTTCTTTGGTTATCTAACACCCATTTCATTTCTTGGATCCTGCAGGTTTACCTGACGTTATGCTGTGGTCTCTTGTTGTCTGCATTTGGAGCTTACGTCCATATGTTATTGAACATTGGTGGGGTTGTAACAGCGTTGGCCGTGCTTGGAGGCCTACTATGGTTGGCTTTTTTCACTTCTCCGACTGAAAACCCGAGTAAACCAATTCCCACTACTTCTTCTTATGATTTTCTGTCAATACTCTGTGTTGCAGTCTCCTTAACTCCATTTTTTGTTTCCTTGGCGCAGAAAAGCGTCTCTCGTTGCTAATCCTGATTTTGGTCCTTCAAGGAGCTTCTGATGGTTTCATTGTCCATTTTTTGTTTGGTTACGATGATGGAAGGTGAGTGTGTGCGTGTGTCTGCATGTCCAGCTTACAGTTTGAAGTTACGTCTAAGTCATAATCCGATATGCACTCATTCGTTCCACTCAGCAAGTGCTTATTTGCTTACACATGTGTATTCGTTTCTTCTTTTTCAGGATCCTCATCGTTTTCTTTGTGGGAGCGGCACTTCCATTCGTGTGTTTCTTGGCAGCAGCAAATTTTGCAAGGAGAAGAGAGCATATCTACTTTGGCGGCTCGGCTTCTTCTATGCTGGCAGTAATTATGTGGCTGCTTTTGGCCTCTTTGTTCTACGGAAAATCATTCTGTGGGAAAGAGCAATTGGTTCCATTCTTGGCGTTTGTAGTAGCCCTTGTGGTGGAGTCAGAGAACATTATAGATAGAGCAATCCATGGTGACTTGGATGTTGTGAAGCAATCTGCCCTCTTCTGCCTTGCAGCGTTTTGTCATCTTATTTGCATCATGGTACGTTTTTATGCGTTAATCCTTGGTTTCACTCCTTCATCTTTTATAACATCATGTCATGTCAATCTCTCTTTTGCATGTGCAGGTAGCGACCGCTGCTAGTATGAAGCACTACAGGGAGAAGAAAAAGCAATCAAGGAACTGAAACCACCGGAGAAAAGTACATAGGAGGAGAGGGTTTCTATAAAATTAATCCGTAAATACAATATATGCCTGAGAACATGTTTTTAATAGTTTCTTGAGTTGAGTCCTCAGCAAGTTTCAAAGCTGCTTGAGTTTGCTTGTCACATAATTAATGTTGTCACATCGTACAGTTTCTTGAGTTTGTACACATCTTCTTTGTTCTTGCGGATGAAAAAGAAGTCCGGAAACAGAACAGATTAATATCTTAGGTGTTGAGTGTTTTTTGAGTTTCAGAAACTTTTAATATTCACTCTGTAATATTGTTGAGTTTTATATACTCACTCTCTAATATTTTAGAAACTTTTACTATTCGTCACAATAAATTAGGAGATTATTTAATATTTTTTTTTTTGGTGAACATTTAATATTTTTACTAGGAGAGTACCCGCGCATAATTTTACAAAAGTTTGATTCCTTAATTCATATCAAATCAAAACTTAGTAACCATTTGTTTAAATGTTATATTATGAATATCTAAGTAGTAAACTAGGCAAATTTAAAATGGTAAACAAATTTATGAACTGCTTATATAAATAATCTTACAAAAAAATGTTTGAACTACAACCACAACAAAATACAACATCTTTTGTAAATCTACAACTAAGATAATCAGAGAACATTCATACTTCTCACGAACATAGCTTCTTGTCATCTTCACTGGAGGAGGTACCCATTTTGCCGAACTACATAGAAAAGAAAAATAGCCATCTCGTGATACAACAGTTTGATCAAATTAGCTTAACACTTGACTATTTGATCTCTGCATTATTGACAAAAGCAACAGACTTTTAAACTTTCCCTTAACCTTTAATCTTTCCAAGTACTCAGGAGGCCTCTGTACACGAACTCTATTGGTAAATAGGCCGTGAAGATCTTCTGCACGACCATCTAAACAATCAAAAGAAACAAATTTTTTGTTGAAACTAATTTTCACTTGCTTGAATCAAGAAACAAAGTGGTCTCCCCGACCGATCAAGAAAGTTAATAAAGAACAAGAATGCTCATTACCTCACTAATTAGAGTTGGAGAAGCTGAGCATCTTATCTCTGGTTCTACAGATAAAAGCTTGTCAAGAAGTGCTAAAGAAGAAGGTGGCAGATTCTTGAACGTCTCATTCATTGGACACATGTATAAGGGTGTTGCGGGTGTTGCGGGTGTTGCGGTCTGTAGCTTGTAGCTTGTGGAAACTTTGTAGTTTCTCAAAACTCTTCAGATGGTGAACCACACAATTTAAAGATCTTATGCATTAGCTCCGCCTTAGAGAGATATGAAAAATCAAGTTAAAACTAACGTAAACTTAGGCTGAAGCAGGTAACTTAAACTTAGGCTAACGTATAATAACTATTTATTAATTAGGAAATGTTGGTAGTAGTAAAGGAAGACTTCTTTTATTCTGAGTTTGTATAGCACAAGCATTAAGCAAATACACCAAGTTGACGAGGTTATATGAACAAACGCAAACAGAAACATCACAGATTAAGAAGAAAAAAAAAAAAAAAGGAAATGTATAACAAGCTTTCAACATAGCTTACTCAAGCCTGAGACACAAGTCCTATAGCCAAAGCAGAGTCTCTCTGCCTTGCTCCACCTTCCCACATTACACGTTCAGACGGAATCTGCAGCCAATAAAAGGAAAAAATTTGTTATTGGGATTTGATGAAAGTTGGTGATAAGGTTAATAAGTCCTAATGTTGTTTATCAATTCTTTGCAAAAAGAATGTCACTTTACTCACCTTGAGGCTGTACACCCTGTAGCAATGATTAGTGATCCATATTTTAACTTCTTCCCTGTGGTTGTTGTGAGGGTTTGCTTTTCAAAATCAGCTCCAGTCACTGGATCTTCATATATCATCTGTTCAAAATTCCAAATACATTAGTTTAAGACTCTTCACTCAAATACACATAGTTTGGAAAAAAATTCCAAAAAGAATTATGTATCAACAGAAGAAGAATAAAAAAATAGCTACAAAAACAAAGTGAAGATATGTCAAAACACGATCACATTATATTCTTAGCCACACACAGATTTCTGGACCAGCAAACCCAATGCACATGCAAAGCCACTAATAGATGAACTTTAACAATTCGCTAGCGACTATTAAACAGAGATAATCCACAAGGGACACATTCCCAGACTCCAACCATACAACATGATAAAGAACACAAGACTATACAGTGATAAATAGAAATTGAATGTGCTCTATCTAATTTCATAACACCTGGTATTTACAAGACAGAGAAAACATAGGTATCAAGAGAACGCTACCTCTTTTACGCCATTCTTCTCATCAGCCCTTTTCTCATCCTCTGGACGACCTCTTCAAGGTTTTGTCTCCATGCCATTTGTCACCTTGGGTTCAACGCCGCTGTCCTACAGTAGTTTGAGGTAAAGCACATGAACCCTAATAAGCAGAAGCTATCTGAATAACATAAAAAGAACAGGCTATGTCAAAACCAGAAGACCGTAAAAAGACCGAAACTCTAGCATGAATAAGTTAGTCTTACTGTTTTCCTCGATATATCATGCTCACGGTTCTTATGTTCCCTCTCCCTCTTCTTCCCTAATTCACTTGCTAACTGGTCTGCTTTTTCTATTGCTTCATCCTGCCACAAAAGGAAAACCATAATGAGACGACAGGGGAAAGAAAAGGTATTCATGATAAATTTTTAACTACAAAAATGACTTCCCGAGAATACCTGTCTCTTCTTTGCTGCAGCTTCTTTACTCTTTGCTTCAGCTTCCCTGGCATCTAAAAACTGCTGAGGAACACCGCTTGAATTATTCTGTGCGCTTAGAAGAAGTGTCCAGAGTTCTTTCATGAACTTGCCAGTATTCTTCTCCATAAATCCAGTTATCGATATCTGAATCTCCTTACCGTTCACTACCTACATTTACAAAACCGTTCAATTGGGTATTAGTCTAATAAAAGTTTGACAGCAACCGAAAAGCTCGTATCCATGGCATAGCTACGAAACCAAATTACCCCTTCACGCTTAATTAGAGACATATATTAAGCACGCTTAATTACCCCTTCATGTTAAAGATTAATTTGAAAACAGCAAGCTAAGGATTAACAACATAGGGATACATGTTTCAAATCCCGGAATACAAACAAATTTGATAGGACTTTCCATCCTCAGTTGTGGTAGAATAAGAGAGAACATGTTTGGGAAAGAAAAAAAAAAAAAAACCTTATTTTTGAAGAAGAGATATGCGAATAGCTTTACAGAAAAACCTCCTCTCCAATGTATGTTGATTATTTGAATACTCTGATGGCTACGGTTGAACTGAATAACAGTCTTGATTTTCATCCTCTTAGTTTTTCGTAGAATCGAATTCTCTAAAACATTTTTTTTGTTAAAGGAATTCTCTAAAACATATGCATCAAATCACTAAATATGAGAAAGAAAACATGGCTTGAAAATCAACCTTAATCTATAACCTATATCGATTAATGATACACCATTAGCTTTCAATCCAAACCAAAATTAGATACAGAGATGATACAAATTAGGCAGCTAGAACAAACAACTTGCAAGGGGTTAAAGGTTCGAAAAATATAAGGGCAAGGAAAAATAGAGGAAAGGTGCATATGTTCTGAACACAGTGAGAAACTTAAAAACTTATAATAGATAAGAAGAGAAAGAAGCATATACCGTTTCTCTTTCATTGTCCATACGCATTTTTCCGGAGCCACAATTTCACCAGTTTTGATATCTTTAGCCATGTAAACCTGACTGCAAGAGCGAACAACAACAATAAACATCCTTAAGAACAATTATATACTTAGCTTTAGCTTCACAGTGTAATTCAAAATAAGAAGAAAAAGGAGACACATATGCATTGTAAAAGCCGAAACCCACATCCAACAATCGCTTCTAACCCCCAATTTATCAATCCACAAGAAAAGCACAGTAAGATCAGATTCTCGGCGGAGGTAATGCGATATGACTCTGCGTTTATTCAATATTAGTCTAGGAAATATGAAATCAAATTGGAAAATGGGGGTAGGGAGGTAGATGCTTAACTGGAACTTGAATCTCCTTCACTCTGATCTGATATTTGGATCTGCTTCCATCGATGGTTTTATAGTGTTGTATATAGTGCGCCTTAGATTGGGGAAGGAGAAGCAGAAGAAAGAAGGGAAGAGGTAGGCGAGAAGACGGGTGTTGCGTTGAACGAAAAATTATTAATGGAAGGAAGCTGCGTCGAGGTAAAAAAATGGGCGAAGGGATTTTTTTATTAAAACCAAAAAAAAAAAAAAAAAAAAAAAAAAAAAAACCGACATCGTTTTGGTGTAAGACGGAAAAGAAAAAAAAAGTGACAACGCAAAACGATATCGTTTTGGCGTTTGGAGGAAAAAAAGAAGAAGGTGCCACATGTCAAATGCGGGAAAGTGTCCAAACCTTATTAGTTATGTAGATTTTATTAACATATCAGTTTACTAAACATAATCCAACCAATTAAAAAAACTAATTAATTTTGCATTGGATAATGGAAACATGAAATTCCTAAAACTTGAAGTTTTATGAAACGGATAGAGTATTTAAGAGTGCTGCTTGCTTGAATCAAAAGATATATAATTGGAAGAAGCAGAATCAGGTCTGATCGCAAAACAAGAAAGCAGAGAAACCCTAATTCTTGACATCACGGCAACAAAGAAAAAGCTAAAAAATCCTACCTTCCTCCATACGGAACACAAAGATGGGCAAACTCAAAAAAACCCTGATTTCAGCTTTGGTACTCTACGTGACTCTTCTACTTCTTGTAATCTCCGCCGCATTGAAGGAAGCAAACGACTTCAGTTACTCTGCTACTGTAAACACAGCAACGGATCTTAAGTATAAGATCATAGGCTCATAGCCATCTTCTCCACATTGATTGTCGGAGCTTTTGGTGTGTGCATACCGATCCTTGGCCTCGATCCACATGGATCTTTTTTCTTATGCGTTAGGTTATCAGCTCCCACCTCAATCTTCGTCACCGGTTTCATCCTCTTTAACCATGCCACAGAGAGCCTCGAAAGTTCTTTCATCGAAGTTGAGCCACCTTGGGGTGATTTTCCGGTGACTAGAGCTGCTGCTGAGATCTTTACCATGGTTGAAGTCTTCGCTTTGGCTTCTATGAACAGATCTCCCTCAGAAACTTGGCGGTGTATAGTTGTCAGAGATATAGAGGAAGAAAAGATTCATGTTGATAATAGCTGCAGCCTGCAAGAACCTTCCATGTTCGTTAGGGATTGTGGTTAACTCAGTGATCTTAGGAATATCCTTAGGAACAACTTCAAGTGTTAGCTTAATCAAGCCTCTTATAGCTGCAACAACTTTGCATCAATTGTGCCAAGGAATTTATCTCGGTGGTCGCTTCTCCAAGGTAATAATAATCTTATCTTGATAATGAAGTGTTTATATCTTCTTCTTCTTCTTTTTTTTGGCAGACAATGCTTGAAGTGAAGAAAACTTTGGTTATGGTGATGGTATATTCTCTCACAACACCTCTAGGAATCGGGATCGGTATTGGAGTCGCCGAGATTTACAAGGAGTATATTCCAGCCACGTTGATGCTGTCCGGTTTTTCAAACGCTGCAGCCGCCGGAATATTGAGCTACATGGCCAGTTTTCTTTGTTACAACGACAAAGCTCAACGTAGTTTGAAGTTGTTATTACCTTGTCCTTATGTGTTCTGCTCGCTGCTGAAATGTCTCTTTTATCGTTGGGATTGAATATTTTCAAATTCTTGTTTCTTTCCTTGGACAGTTTTCAAATTCAGATTCATATACTATGTTGAGATTAAGTCGATTCCTTATATTTCTTAAAGCTTTTCCTTGATATTTTTTAACTAATTACAGCATATCATCATCATATAACAACAAAAAAAGCAAGAATCTCTCTGTTTTAACGTTTTCACTTGTTGGAGTCGTCACCATCTTTCCAAGCAGCTTGCCATTGCTTGTCATACAATGTGGTCTCGTCGAAGAGCTTCTTGAGTTTGTCCACGTCGTCGTTCTTGCGTATGAAGAGAACTCCAGCAACAGCCACGAACAAGAGCGTTTTGCAGAAGAAATTTCCCATCTGGTCGACTAAACCAACTCCGGTGAGGCTATCAACAAAGTAAGCCATGAAGAACCCTACCATCGCCGCACGCCCTGCAAACATTTTCCGATATGTTAAGGATTTACAGAGATTTCAGATTTCAGAGATTTTAAGGATTTACCATTGAGGATTTCAGCTTCGGGTAAGTGGTATCTCTTGATCCAAGCCCACCATGGAATGATCGATGTATCGAAGAGCACTGGTTCCTCGTTACTCGTCGTCTCCGGATTCTCTTCCAGCCATTTTCGTCTCTTGGCCTCTTCCAAAATCACAACAAGTTAAGCACATTAGAACCGGTTTACACTAAACCATTGGTTATTGGATAATAGAAACAAATCGGGGAATTCGAGGATCTAACCAGCAACGATTACAGAATCCCAATCGGTTTTTCCATCTTTCTCGAATTGTTTCAGATCCCAAGTTCCGTTAACCCATTTCGCATCCTCGAATTTGATAAGCGTCTCCGTCGTCTTCATCTCTTCTCCAACTTCTACGGTGGTGGCGATTTCTTCTTTCTTCACCGCCGGCGGTGTTGATGGCGGAGCTTCTTTGACTACCACCGCCACAGGATCGGTTATCCCACTGTTAGAGGAAGGGGAGGAGTTAGCTCGAGTGACGGAGAGGAGAGAGAAGCGGTTCGTGGATAGGAGAGAGAATGAGAACTTTGGGATGAAATTGGGATTATGAAGAGATGAAGAAGAGATTGGCGGGGAGAACAACGACGCCATTGTTATGGTTTTCTTCTTAGCGCTCTCAGCTCTCACTTCACTATAAAATTTTCAACAAGAGGTTCTAAATAATCTGTTGATTTGGGAGAGACGTGTTATCGTCTTCTATCACATGTATGTCGTTTCTTTCTCTGAAATAGAAACTGCGTAACGTTTTTCCACTGCACTCAGTTGGGAAAAAAACAAAACAAGAAAAAAAAAAAAGTGAAACTGACAAGTATCTTCATGGGCTCGTATTATAAGCCCATCCTGGCATTTTGGAGTGTTCTGAGGAATTTTTATCCATTGATGGCAACAAATTTCCTATTCTAGTTACTCTGCTTGGGATGTTCAAAACAAAAAAAAAGTTACTCTGCTTCGAAATCATATGTTTTGTAAAGAAGAAATTATAAAGAACTAGGTTTTTTGTAAATCTGAATTTTATTAAACTGTAAAAGGGTAATACAAGAATTCAGTCAACCAATAAGGAGGACAAATATACAATATAAAGAAATCAACAGAATCATAAACACAATTAGATAACTTATCTGCTACTTGATTCCCTAATAACATGATCTAAAGAACATAAAGATAATTTACCTATCCAATGACGTATATCAACCAAGAGATTACCCAAATCCGTACTTCTTTCATTCCTATCCCCTTCAAACCATACCTTTCGTAAACCCTTATTCCACAACCCTTGAGCCACATACAGAAAACCATTTGCTTCAGCCTGTACAGTAGAATTTACTTGAGGAAGCCTTGCCCATCCATATTCAATACATCCTGTATCATCCCGTAGAATCCATCCTACACCCATAAAATCTGTACCAATTCGATAGGTTGGCTACAATCTCTCTTTTTTTTTTAATTTTGTTCTACTAGAAAAAAAAATTACCACCATAAAAAAATGAATAATATTATTTTTGATTCATAATTCAGTTGCAATGTTGAATACATGCGCTAACACATGTTACTGATGCCAAATAAAATAAAATAAAAACTTAAATAACTGAAGTTTTAGATAAAAATTTAAATAACTGAGTTTTAGATAAGAAAAATGGGCCAACAAAAAAAAAAAGTCATGATCGAAAACTCTGGATAAAGAACTCGTCTAGAGATTTAGAAAAACACAAATTAAGACGATCAAGATACCACTAGATATCTTTAATTGTCGAGGAAACATCATCGCCTTATACTTTTGGACCGGAAGTGGATGGATCATCGCTCTTCAGTGGTGTTCTTCGATGACAGTTGTTATCTCGTCAAGAGTATGACCGTTCTGACAAAAAAAAATGAAGAAAAAAAACTAATCTTATTAGTCACTTCAACATGTAAAATCACTTAAGATGCGATTAAAAGTATAAAATTCAGGGTTAGTGTTATTGCATCAACCGGTGATCATATTGAATAAAGTATGTGAAAAAGTATGTGAAAAGAGACACTACCATTAGCTCATAGCTCGTCATCGTTTTAACCTGTTCTGGTTTTAATTCGCCATTGAGGATTCGTTCAGCAAGCACTTGTGAGCTCTACAAACAAACGAGAGGAAATTACTATTATCACTCAAAATACAAAATAAAATAAATGCTAACTTAAATTGATACTTGCAGCAAACTAATACCACTGAATACAAACAATAATTTTAGGGAAAATATATCATACCTGGAATATAAAATAGACTCCTATATATAATTATTTTAATATCCCCATAATCTACTAGATTCCCCCTATTCTAGTTCAATCATCAAACATCAGTGTGGAATTTCACACAATAATTTATGTATTTTCTATAAAGCATAGCATATTTTATCTTTTTCATCGTTCGTTTGTTATATCAACTTCCGAGACCAAGACCAGATCAGCGACATTTCATACTATATGAATAAATAATTGCCACATCCTAGGGATTCTAAGCAGTACATGCACACACACACAAACAAATGATGGAGAGAATGGAATTAAACTAACCTTGAGTGTATCAACTAGCTCCTTCGATATGTTATTGTACTTTGGCATATCCTCTGCGAAAGACTCAAATAAAACATGCTCAAGAGCACGCACCACAGGAACTGCATCATCTGGCCAGAAAGGATCATAATCACCAGCTTGTTTCTTCTCTGTTACACGACACTTGTGCTTCACCGCCTTTAGAAGCTCATCCAATCTATTGTCACGATCCAAATTTCCGGTTAACATACCAAATTTCTCCAAGATAGGACTCAGTCTCCTAGGTTTCATGGTAATATTGTGCTCCTTCTCAATGTCAGGAAGATCGCCAACTCGCGACATCGTCTGTGCCAAGAGAATATCAATCTCTTGTTTTTGCTGCTTGTTAAAATCATTATCAGTGAACTTTCGCAGCTTCTTCTTAACAAAATCGTAAAGATTCTGCACAATAAACCAGGATGATCTCTACGGTTCTGGGACTTTCTTGTTATCCGGCACGAAATGCACAATGCAATTGTGCTTCACGGATTCAGCAAACACTTCATCGCGATGGAAACTGTAGAAGAGGTCCCTTGCACCTTTGGATTCCCATTTTCCGAGATATTCTTCCTCGACATCTTCTGGACGATAAAACCACTGCACTACAAGCTTCACGTATCCTTCTTTGCCTTTATATAAATGTCCTGTCCAACAATATAATTTGATTAATATAAGGTAAAAACTGAAAATTATGTCAACATTTCTCTTTTGATTTTTAACCTTTATGATAGCGGCATAGGGCTTTTGGTCTGCGGACTCTGCCATCACTAACACCGAATCCTCCTATGCAAAAAATGGTATAAATTATATAACTTGGAGCTTTTGTTTCTATTAAAATGTTGTCCAAATTGTTATGTGATTTTTCTTTTAAACACTAAAAAGCTGTTGTAATTAGTCAAAAAAAATTAAGAAATCTTAAGGAAAACAAAACTCACCAGTCATATTTTCTTCCATGAAACTCGAATTTCTTGTAGTGGCCATTTCTTCTTAAGTCCTGTACCAGTAAACTTAATCACTTTGCCAACTGGCTGCGCACAATTCTCTCGTTTCCACTGCAACTCTTTTTTCTTCTCCATCGGTCTTTTCTCCGTATTTTTATTCTTTTGCATAGTCTGCTTCCTTACTGTTTGTTCGGCATTATCCTTTGAATCCTCTGATCTAGACAACGAAACAATGTCTTTTCCACTGTCTTCATCTTTGCTAATCAACACTTGACTGAATTGCTCGGTCAACATCTCTTTGGTGAACATCTGATACGGTTCCAAATTGGATTTTAACCCTACAGTAAAATTATAATCATTAGAAGAGAAAATGTTGGCATCAACCTCACAACATAATTTTTTTATGCCTGGATATTTAATGAAATAAAGAAAATAAACGATGGTAGATTAATTTGACATCTCAACAGAACACAGTCTTTATGATTCAGCCTAACATACAAAATATACGTATAAAAGTAATCAGCCAATATCTGAATAGTAACAAAAAAATGAGTTTTATAAAGATTGTGATATAGGCTAGGCTAATTATTTTATTTTTTAATACTAAAATACCTTAGACATTGTAAATGTATTTCTAAACCTAGTATATTATAAACTTTCTAAACTCAATCAGATAAAATGTATAAATTACCAACAATGAGTTGGCGTAATGGTTAAGCCTCTTAAAATGCATAAATTGCCAACGATGAATTTTGGATGTCACAGGTTCGATTCATGTGAGTACTATGTTCGATTCATGTGAGTACTATGTTGTATAAAACAATAGTTAAATTACTCGTCTAGGGGATGTATATGCCCAGACCTCCTCCTAATCGTAATAAAACAAAAAAAAAATGTGAATTACTAATGCTAGTTAAAAATTGAATCACCCAAAAAAAACACCCAATCAGTCTGCACTGATTAGTTTTCTAGGTGATGCCTTACCCGAATATCCGATTAACGTCTAGCGCATTCTCGAATACAGGTTTTATGAAAATTTACTAACAGAAAATTACTCAAATTTTGTAATAAAAATTACTTTGATTATCTAGATTAGCTATCCAAAATTCGTACTTTATGTTTATCCTAGTGGATCATTATTTGATTTGATTCCATTTCGGTTTCCGCTACCAAATCAAAGTATTCACACATCCCAAATTTCTGAAATAACCGATTATTTTCCGATTAGTTTTCTAAGTGTTAGGCCTTACCCGAACACCTGATTAACGTCCGGCGCATTCTCGAACACAGATTTTATGAAAATCTACTAACAGAAAACTACTCAAAGTTTGTAAGAAAAATTACCTGGATTATTTAGATTAGCTATCCAAAAGTCGTATTTGATGTTATCCCAGTAGATCAGTATTTGATTTGATTCCGTTTCGGCTTCTGCTACCAAATCAAAGTATTCACACACCCCAAATCTCTGAAATAACCAATTATTTTCCGATTAGTTTTCTAGGCGATAGGCTTTCATGAGCACCCGATTAACACCTAGCGTATTCTCGAACAAATATTTATGTGATATTGTTCTTATTTGTTCTTGTGTTTATTACGATCTGTTCTTATTTGTGTTTTGAACTTTTTCAGTACTCATATATAATAATCTTCAAATGAATACACTACTAAATAACAATAGATTTATTCTTCAAATTTCCATTTTTAGTTAAAGACTTATAAAGAAATATAATAATGTAATATATATATATATATATATATTTAATATTTTTGACATAATAAGTAATATTCATAGAATTCTTACATCTTTTCAATAAACAATATAAAATAAAACTTATTTATATGGTGTCAGCCACTCTTTTCATTTTTGTTAACTAAAAAAAAAAATTTGATGAGCTGTCATTTACAAAATTTCAGATTGTGTTTTTGAGATGTATTTGGATTTATTTCTTTAATCGGTTTATGCATGCATAGGAGACCATAGACTTTGAATTGTGGAAGAAATTAAAAAAAAAATCCTTTTAATTTTCTTGATAGCCTTTTTAATTTGATAACACTCATATATTTTGACAGCTTTTTTAACTTATTAATATTTCCCATTAATTTTATAAATAGCCTTTTTAATTAAGTAATATTTTCTTTTATTTTTCTTAGCAGCCTTTTAATTTAATAATACACACATTTTGATGGGATATGTCTTAAACATCATTAATAATATAGACATGCATGAAAATTATAGAAATATTAATTAAAAGATTAGTTTTTGACAGCCTGTTTAAGTTAATAATATTATTTATGTATGCATTCAAATTTGTTAAATAAAACAAGGAAATTTTACGGAAAAACCCCTCAATATTAGTCCAATCCTTTTTAAACTCTCAACTATTTTTTAGTGAAAAAACCCTTGGTTTAGATCCGTTACAATGAAATCAAACCCATCTACCGAAATGTTTAATCCCCTAACAATTTTTTGTCGATATTAACATAATGTTTATTTCAAATCAAGAGTAATTATAAAAAAAAAAAAATTAGGACTAAAAAAGTTAGAGTTATAATTATAAACACTAGGAATTGAACCCACGCGAAATCACAGGGTGACTCATTTTTATTATATATTTTAAAAAAAAAACATTTGCAGTATAAAACATAACTTAACATAATGATAGCAACAGTTTTTACTATTGCTTGCTTGTAAATTGATTTTACCAACATTAATAATTGGACATGTCTTCTGGCACCCATTAAAATCGTACGTTAAACCTAAGGGAAGATCATTTGACATTTGTAATGATGATGTCCTTTTAATAATAATGAGGAAGTGTTATTTTCCCTTCACTTAATCTTAAACTGAAGATTGAACAATATATATAACAATGAAAAGACATTATTACAATAGATTGCAACTGTTCACTTTTTTGCTAAGAATGTAAATATCATTTTAAATGAAAAGTTTAGAGAATACAAGAAACTCTAGAGAACTGAAACTTTTTGGCAAAAAGGGAAAAAAACAAGGAGACAGTAAAACAAACACAATAAAGTGGTAAACTTCAGAGCCAAAGACACATAAGGCCACCGAAATGGCGCCTACTACGTCTTGTTGTGATGGTATCAGTTACTTCCCAGTAAATTAATCAACTTGAAGATGATGACTGGAATCAGATAGTGTCCATTGTGGAGGACGTTGTTTCTCTACTTCCAAATGTGGAAAATAGCTGCCTGCATGGCTAGTTTCCTCATGAGAGATGGAGCTTCTGTTGTTTTCTTATTATACCAAGATAGTAGCTCCGATCAGGACATTATGGCGCGATGCGTCGGATCTAGTCTCTGCAACACCAACTGCCAAATCTCTGAGCTGAACCTGCATTCGACAAACAAATGATCTCATGTTTCCGGATCTCTTCCGCACAAGCAAAAATCTGAGGAAGTTATAGTTCCCCAAGTGACAAGCCTTGCTCTGGTTGGTATTTTGTTGAGATTAGTAACCCACAAGTTGAAAGCATGTTTTGGCACTGAACCCTTGAATCAAACCGAATTGCTCCACGGTTTCGAGTCCGCCCTAGGTCTCACCGCTTCCCAAGTCTTAGGCTTTGAATGGGAGTATAGAACTAATATAATACAAACCAAGTCCATTCCAAATCCAGTTGAGCCTGCATTTGACAGCCATTCACATCTTTTTTTTTAAATCAACAAAATACAGATCATTTATCTTTCAAACTGTATGCAGTTTATTTTATTTGTTAAAATTTGAACTGCAAGGAAAGAATTCTTTAACACCTGTTCATGAACTGTATTTAATTTGAACTGTATTTGTTCAGTTTGGACTTTAAATTTTATTTGAACTGTAATTTATGAACTGTATCTCCATTCAAAGCCTTAATTGAGCTGAAACCATTGCAGTCAAAACTGTCTACAATCCCACTAAAGACATTGGATTTTTCATCGTTGTTGGGACTGTGATAGTTGTAAGAAAAACCTGCAATTCCACAGCCTTTTCTGATCTTGACGCTGGTAAGTTCCAGGTGCCATTTGAGCATGCCTCTGAGACCTTGGCTGAGGAAGGAATGCATAAGTCCCTCGGTCCTGAACGGCCCCAGTGGAGTCCAGACATCAAACCAGAAACTCGTTGATTGACCATTACCCACTTTTGTCCTCAAGAACCTTTCAGCCAACAGTCTTAGCTTTAGAATAGATCTCCAAGCTGCCGACGATTTGGGACTTTCTTTTATGCTCCAAAAAGAGTCCCCTCTAATGTAATGGTGATTATGCCAAAGACTCCATAGTGTATCTTTCTCTGCAAATAACAGCCATATGAACCAGAGGCAGAGGCCCTTATTCCAGTCAGAGAAACTTCTTATGACGAGACCTCCTTCGTTTTTTGAGAGACATACAGTTGATCAAGCCACTTTTGCTCCCTTATTCGATTCAGATTGAACCTGACCATAAGAACCTTGGACAGAGTGAATCGATTTGTTTGATTTAGCCTTTAGGGAGAACAAAAGTCGATATCCAAAAGTTAACAGTTCTGGATATCACCGAAGCAATAAATTGTGCTCTCCGGGCAAAAGAAAGCGTTTTTGGAGCCCAAGATCTAAACCTTCCTCTGATTTTCTCCATTAACGGCTCATATTCCACGATTTTTAGCTTTCTATGCATAAAAGGCAAGCCCAAATAACGGATTGGAAGTGAGCCCTTCGTGAAACCATATTCTTCCACTGTCGTTGATTCCACTTCGTTTACACCTGCTAAGAACAACTGTGTTTTATCTTTGTTCATTTTAAGACCATACCAGCTAACAAAATTGTCGAGGGCCTCCATTATGCTGTGGAGCGATGAGGAGCCACCGTCGAACAAGACCATCACATCATCTGCAAACATTAAATGTGAGATACCGAGTTCTTCAGTTTTTGGATGGTACATGATATATCCCGCATCAAACCGAGAGTGAAGCACCTTAGAAAACACCTCCATTGCTAACACAAAAAGATAAGGGGAAAGGGGATCTCCCTGTCTCATTCATTTTGTGCTCTTAAAGAAACCTCCCGAGTTTCCATTTACTGAGACGGTGAAGGAAGCCGTTGTGATACACTGCTCAATCCAGATGACAAATCTCTGCGGGATGTCTATAGCTTTTAACGTTGCCAAAATGAAATCCCAGCGGACCGAGTCAAAAGCTTTCCTCACGTACACTTTCAACATTCCTCTAGGCTCAATGTTTCTCCAGTTATAACCATGCACAATTTCAGTTGCTAACAACACGTTCTCAGCTATTAGTCTTCCAAGCATAAAAGCAGATTGCGGGTTTGAGATTACCTTCGAGAGGATCCCTTGCAATCTGTTAGCTAGCAGCTTAGAGATGACCTTATAAGCAGTGTTGAGGCAAGAGATGGGTCTGAAATCTGACGTAGAAGAAGCATTGGTGGTTTTAGGGATGAGGACAAGTGTTGAGTTCCATTGCTTTAGGATTCTTCCTGAGGTCAAGAACTCCATAACAGCTTCCCTTACCTCGGCCCCAAGAACATTCCAACATCCTATGAAGAACTCCGCTGAATAGCCATCCGGACCTGAAGTTTAATTTCTCGGCTAACTGAAGAAAGCTTCTCTTATTTCCTCTTTAGAGAAGTTACTCCCTAGCTTTTCCTTCTGTTCTAGTGATCATCTATAAGGTAACAAAATGTCCATGTCGGCTTAAATGAACATTTTTCGATCCACCTCTCCACCCAGAAGATCCTGAAAATAGTCACCCGCAAAGATTTTTTATTTCCTGGTCAGTCTCAATCCTCGCTCCATTTGCGTCAGAGAGGTAGTGGATATGATTTATCACTTTCCTTGAAGCTGCCATACGATGAAAAGAAGCTGAGTTGCAGTCTCCTTCCATTAGCCAAGTTACTCTTGATTTTTGGCAATGAAAAGCCTCCTCTGCTTGTGCTAAGATTGCCCATTTCCTCTGCGCTTCAATTTCTTGGTTGGCATTGAAGACTGAGGGACGATCTAACAACCTTTTCTGACAAACGAGCATCAGCTCATGAGCTTCCTTTTTTCTTTTCTCTATGTGCAAGAAGTTCTCCCTACTGAACTTGCGAATGGGGCTTTTCAGCGCCTTCAACTTGGTTGTCACACGATACATTGCTGAGCATGTGACATTGCAGGAGAACAAGGCTCAGCAAATATGTGACTGTTCATACAAAAATATATGACTCGAAAATACACATCCTTTTAGATGAGCGGTTATAGGCAAGAAGATTAAGAACGAAAAGGTACAACCATTAAAGACAGTTATTCTGTTTGCATTTATTTTGAATGGAGGAAAAGATTTATCTAAATTCTAAATAATGAATAACTTGTTCAAAATGTTTTATTGACTAAATCGTGTTTGAAATTAGGAAACCACAGTTTTTAAAAAAAAAATTAAAGAAAATGCAAATTGGTATCTGATATCACTATGATCTACATGATTTTACTATATATCTATTTATGTTTTCAAACGGTTTTTACAAGATTCTTTGCCTTTAGAGGTAGTTTTCTTGTATTTGTGGGATTTGAAGTCTTTGTAGGTGAAACCATAAAAAAAGATGCAAAAATGAGCAAAAGATTCTCAAACCAACTTCCATGCAAGTTTCCAAGTCAAGAACATCATTTTATCTCCAAGTGTTAATTCTCGCTATCGAGCAGAACGAAGCTTCTGAAGTTTGGCCGCGAGCGGAGGAGTTCCCGACGTCCAAAATCCACGATCTTGATATGGAAAGATAAATACTTGAGTCATGCATCACGTCAAAGTGAAATGAAGCCATTTGGAACCATCGGGCCGGAAATTATTTTCTACCGAGACATGTCCGGTTAGCGACCAAACGGAGCCCATGGAGGATTTGGAGTGTCTAATGGCCCGAGAAACCGCGGCCTATTACTTGGCTCGCAATAGGAGAGCCCTAAATTATGTTTGGAGTCTTCCTTGACGCAATGCCAGCCCATATACGACGTAAGAAGAAGAGGTCCGGCTCATGGGAAACTTTCCTTTTCCGGCAAGAAGAAAACCCTACTCGACTTCGCCCATATATACATGTTTTTAGCCGCT